TAGTAGTTATTACTTCGATGACATCACCAGTAATGTGCCTCATTCACTTTCTAACAAGCTGTAATTTTGCTTTGGAAATGCTGCACACAATAAAGAGTTATTCGCAAGGGCTTTGAACTACCACATCTCAAGTCCTCTTACAATTTAACTCCTGCAAGCCTGATCATTTCCTGCCAGACTGCAGCTTGAGGGAATGCCTGTGGCATCTGAAGACCCTGCGTGTGTGCAAACATGATTTCATTAGTTCCAGGGTTTCAAGTCCACATATCAAGACCCAGTCATCTGCAAAATTTTCCGAGTTTAAAGCCATACATGGCAGTAAGAGGCACACACAATTTTAAGTAGAAAGATCCCTATGATGCCTTAAATTTAGACAAGTTACTTGGGGGATAAAAATCTGGGGGTCTCAGTTCCCATCTTTCCACTATGACTACACTAATCACACAAGAGCATCTACATAGAGGTGATTTGTAAACCTTTTAAAGTTAACTGAAGTGTAACAAATACAGCAAGGTGTAAAAATCATTAGTATGTTGCTTGGTGAATTTAACTAAGGAAACAAAGCCATGTTACCACAGAAATCAGGACATGGACATCACCAGGACCCGGAGGTAGCCTTCCTGTTCTGTTCTAGTTATTACGCCTCTTGCCTCAAAATAAGCTCTCTCCTTACTTCAATTATCAAAGTTCAGTTTTGCTAGTTTTTGGATCCTGATGCAAATGAAGTCATGCTCCATATGCTTATTTGTGTTAGCGCTCCTTCACTCAGTATCGTCTCTGTTCCATTCATCCCTCACGTCTCACAGAGCCACAGGTGAAACTTTGGTATCGCAGCATAGGGCGTCCGACTGTGATTTTACCACAGCTAATCTATTATACCACGGGAGGATATCTGTGTTGTGTTTCCATTTTGGAGCTATTATGAATAATGTTTCTAACAATGTTCTGTGTCTATCTTTCGGTATAGATATGTATGCATTTTGGGAGGCATACTTCTAATAGTGAAATTGCTCATTTCAGGGTATGTGTACATTTAATTTTCGGTGATACCATCAAGGAGTTTTCTATACTGATTGCACGCAGTCACACTCCTACCAGCACCGTGGAGAATTGTTCAACTGCTTCACCCACATTTGGTCTTGATGGGTGTTTTTTTTTTTGCTTGTTGTATTTTCTTCTCTCTCCTTCCTTTCTTAAATTCAGTCTTTAAGATAGTGGTAGCCTTCCTGTTCTGTTCTAGTTATTATGCCTCTTGCCTCAAAATAACCTCTCTCCTTACTTCAATTATCAAAGTTCAGTTTTGCTCACTGTGTCCACAGTGGTTAACTGTGTCCAACTGTGGTTTTAGAGAGTATTTTTTGATGCCTTGTGATATTGAGCAAATTTTTGCTCATATCAGTTCTTTGGCCCATTTTTTCCAGTTGTATTTTCTGTATTGAACTGAAGGAAAAAGGAATAGATATATTTTTTCATATTACTCAAAGTACAACTAAAATCAATATCAGTAGGATAAATAATAAAAACAAGATCAGAATTCAGTGAAAGAGAAAGCAGAACAAAGTAGAAAAGAGAAACAAAATCATATTTGACTTCTTGTAGGGATTAAAAAAACAATAAATTCCCAGCAAGACTATTGAAGACAAAATAAAAAAAAAACCAACACCCCAAACAACCCCCAAACCCCCAAAATTTCCAAAACCAGTGCAAAAGAGGTTGTACAATCCTTAGCAGACTGATTAAGGAATACAGAGATTATAGATCCTGAAATAAATAAGAGGATTGTAGGAAAATAAATCAATAAAACAATTTTTATACTAATAAAGTTGTCTATATTCATATCCAACTCATTTTAACTGAGAAATAGTGTTTCTTACAATGGAATTGCTGTACATTTTATTTGTCTATTATTGTTTTGGAGCCAAAGAGCAATTAGACTGTTTCTAGCATTTTCTGTTATAAACCAAAGTGTGATGATGAAGTTTATACGTGTCTTCTTGTATGCGAGTGCAAGGCTTTCTCTAAGGTCCTCATACAGAGGACGTGTCTTGGTCAAAGGGTGGCCAAGGGCAATCAATTGAACTTTAACCCATTGTTGTCTACACTGACTGAACAATTTACACTTACACAAGCAGTGTGTAAGAGATGCTTTTCTATATTTCCTCACCATCACTTGGTGTTACTGCACATTTCAAACAACCTTGATAGCTGCATATTTATCATGTTTTGTTTCACATTTTGCTGGCTAACAGAAAGTTAAACAACTTTTCCTATTATTATTAGCAATTCAGATTTATTTTCCTGAAAATGATTTTTCCATTGAGTTATTAGCCTTTCAGTAATGATTTTTGGTAATATCTTAAATATCCACTGGGCATTAGTTATATATTTGTTGTGAGTGGCAAATAGCTTCTGTTATTCTGTGGCTTAAAAAAAAAGCTTTATTGTCTTTTGTCATACAGAAATGTCCACTTTTAGGTAGTCAGCTCTATCAATATTTTTCATTATAAGATGTGTTCATTGTGTTTTATTTGAAAATCCTTCATTGCCATTTCCAAGGTAATAATAATCTACAATCTTTTTCTTTAGATGATTTAGAAGTTGGTGGTTCTTTGGTTTTAATTATCTGAAGTATATTTATTTTGAATGGTTTTGGGTGGAGATATAATTTTTTCCCTCTATACAGAAAACAGATTTTTACAGCCACAATTATTGGATTTTCTTTTCTTCTCTCATTTTTAAATGTCACATCTCATTTGACATTCCCATGCATGTGTCAGTCTGTCTGTGGATTCTATACCTTGTAACATGAATCTATTTTTCTTTCACTGAACTAGTACCATACTGTTCTAATTATTATAATGTGTCTTGATTTTTGTTTTATTTTAGGGCAATTCCTCCTGCTTTATTTTACTTGAAGTGTAGATGGTTATTCTTGGCTATTTATTCTAGCATATGAATTTTGAGATCAATTTATCAGGTTATACAAAACAATCTCTTGGAAATTTTAAAACAAGAGCTTTTGAGATGTAATTTCCACAGAAAATTCACCCTTTTAATACATACCAGTGTTCTTTTAATAGCTTCACAAAGTTGTACTATCAAATAACTATTTAACTTAAAAATATTTCCATTATCCTCAAAAGAAACCCTGTGCCCATCAGCAGTCACTCCACATTCCACCCATCTCCTTCTGACCCTGACAACTGCTCAGTTATTTTCTGCCTCAGGTATTTGTCTCTGTGTATTTCATGGCATTTCATAGAATGCAATCAGACAATTTGCTCCTTCTTTCACTTAGCCTGATGTTTTCCAGGTTCAGTGTGTTACATATAGCAGGTGTCAGTGCTTCAGTCCTTTTTATGGTTAAATAATACTACATTATATAGATATTCCACCTGTTGTTTAGCCATTTATCAGTTGATGGGCATTTGGGTGTTTACACTTTTCAGGTATTATGAGTGATGCTGCTATGGACATTTGTGTACATGTTTTTGTGTGAATGTCTGTCTTCAGTTATCTTAGGTACATAGCCAGGAGTGGGAATGCTGCATCATATGTTATTTCTACACTTTAAATTTTGAGGACCCCAAGCTAGGGGTCCTTTGATGCTGTCTCTATATCAATGGTCTTTTCTCTTGAGAATCACATTTTCCTCATCCTTTGTATGCCAAGTACTTTTGGATTACAACCGAAGCTATTTGCCATCCATATAATAAAATATGCAAAATGCATCCTATATATTTGAATGCTGTGTTGCTGTGGAGCAACAGTGGCTTGCATGTATACGCTGGTCATGGAAATAGATGTTATTTTATATTTTGGTTCAAATAATGTATATGGAGCACATGATAGCAACTGCCTCAGAGAATAGTGTAGTGAAAAAGACAACAGAGGGCTATGGAGACTGATTATACCTATGATGTTTTATTTCTTTCTTTAAAAATTTCTTGAAATAAATTTAACACAATATGAAAAACTTTAGGATAATTCAGGATAATAGACATTGAATGGCTTCTTACTTATTTTTCATACCAGTCTGTATTTCTGTTTTTTCTCAACAACAGACAAAATAAATAAAAAAGAAAGGACATTAGCCCATCTGTATCCCATCACCTCCACACATTCCCACTGCCTGAGCAGCATTACTGTTCACAGCTTATCCACCCAGACCTTCTTCAATGCAAGCAAAAATGTGCATTTCAATTCATCCAGAAACAATGACATTTATGGGAAACATTTGTCTTTGCTTTTTGTCAGCATTTCTTCTTTTTATAGTTTGGAAAGATTTTGCCTTTTGTTAGTTCTTCCACTGTTTACTTTCATATAAAAATAAACTTTTCTAATAACCTGCCATGTCTTGACTTCCGATTATGGACACTGGGAGATAGGAAACTTACACATTCTCATCTCCTTCCCTACTTCCTGGTGTTTGTTATAAAACATTTTTCCATGGTCCATCGTAATTAAGTAGTTATTTTTCTTGCTGAAGAAAAACTTCATTGTTTCTAGGTTTTGTAATGTAATGCATATTTTAGGTGACCATAGTCGCCTAAATTATTTCACTTTGCTTTTATATTGAAATGATTTAGTACTCACTGGCAGTCCTTTCCTACCAGGCCTTTCTATTTTGTTCGATTGATTTTTTTTTTATTCTGTAACAGGTTTGTTTTCATCAGTGAATTTTTTCAAGAAGCTTTCAATCTGTGTATCCTAGCATTTCTTAGAATGCCTGTTGATTTTCTTTATACTGGAATGACTATCATCCCTGTATTGTATTCGAACTTGGATCTATCATTTTCTTACATTACGCTTTTACACTTTTACAACTTTCAGGATGCCTTGTAAATAATCCAAATACATTCGCAGAAAGCATTCCTGGATCATGCAATTTCCTACCCTTGATGCCTCTGCTGATGTTCCTGCATTATCTTCTGGCTTTTATACAGTGCTGTGTCCACATCTGAATGCAATGTGATTTTTTTTTTTTTTTACTCTTATAGGATTCTTCTTGTCCCCAAGTGTTCAAGAACTTTGCCAAGATCCAAGCAACAGCTGATAATGATCAAGAATGTCTTCTGTACGTAAGTGCATTAGACATATCAACTCATCTAATTCTCATTCACAACAAACCACAAAGCTGGTATTTTTAATACTCCCATTTTACAGATTAGACCTCAACCTGAGGGACCTGCCCAAAGTCACACAGGCACTAATGGCTGGAGCTCTGATTCATGTCAGGCAATCTCCTATACAAACCTCTATGTGGGTGGTTCTCATAGTTGAAGATCCACAACTCTCTCATTTTAGGAAGTAGTTCTTTCCATCTCTGAGCATTCTTTTTTTTCCTATTATTTTCTCTTCTCGTTTCAAGGACACAAATGTCCACATTATTTCTTTGATGTGTAACATCCATATTTCCTGTCCTCCCTGTAATTGTCATCCCGATGTGCTTTCCAGTGACAATCTTTGTGATTATCTCAATTATCTCTTCCACATGACAGATCTGATTTTCAATCGGAATCCATTCTTTTCCTTATCCTCTGATGTATGTTTATTAATTCTGTAGTGATGTTTGATGTTCAATTTCTTTCCCTACTTCTGAAAATTAACTCAGCTACCTTATATCTTAGATTTTTATTTGTATTTTTATCAACCTGTTCATTGCATTAACTTTAGTGTGGTTTTTTTTGTTTGTTTTCTTGTATACGTTCTTTTGAGGAAGTGTTTAATAAAAATAATTTTCCTATTCCTTGTTATGCACTTTCTTCCAGAAGAAATTCTTTTTTCTTTCAGATGCTTCCATGTTTACTTGTCTTCCTTCTCCTTATTTTTCTCCTCTTTCATGATCTTGAACAGTAGCAGGACATTTGTTTTTCATCACACTCATCTTCGGTACCGGCAATGCTACCTGGACATTGCCTTTGTCCAAACCTAGCACATGCATACTCACCTTGAATTCCTGCCTATCTTAGCGGAAGCCATCTTCCCCTAGAGGCTGGCTTCATGGGCTGCTGGTCTGGGGTTTGTTTGCATATGTTTCTGTTTTTCTTAAGGAGCCTCAGTTGCAGTCATGACTGTTTTGATTGGTGAATGTTTTCTTATAATTTTATATAATTGTATTACTATAACAGGGTTTATGCTGACTAGTCCAGGGAGTATCCTTCTTATGTGGGCAGAGAAATTATGCTTCAATTGGATTGTTCTCCCAATATGTGCAGATATCACGACTTTATGCCCCCATTCCCTTGAGCTCCTGCAGCTGTTATTCCTCCTCTTCCCCAGTCAGAGGAGGGGGCAATGAATGAAAAAGAATGTATGAACAAGGTGCTCTAGGAAAAAAGGCCATATAGAGCTCCTTCATCGGTGTCCTTCTATGCTCTTCCCTTTCTCAAGGGACAACCAAATCCCATTGAGGTTTTGCCCTGTTTGGTTGTTACTAGAAGAAATAATTCTTTGTGATCAATTTGTGTCTTACCTCTTCTGAAGTTTAGGAGTGAACCGATGAGTGCTAATAGGTTTTCCCTTCTTTGGAAATATTTCCACCTAGGGTGTTGGGAAGAGGCTTCTATTTCAAAGGGGACATTTCACAAAAGTAGCCATGGTGCCCTTCCAAATTGGAAGATATAAAGAAAATTTTGCAGAATTGTGCCTCTACATATCTTCTAACACCCTGTATAGCTCCTTGGAATAGAAAAATATTTACACATCATTTTCTAGATTCCTTTGTCATTGTATTTCCAGATTATCTTCTTCAAAATAAATAACTCAAACTATGCCTCATCCATTTTTGTATGCTCTTGGAAAACTGATCATTTACCAGATTGTTTTCTCATTTCAGTTTTTTTTTATTAGGTTGTTGGGATGGGAGGTTTGTGGCCCTTCTTTGAATCATGCTATTTCCCCAGAATTCCCATTGTCTTCCATTCTGCTTCCAAAGTCATCTTACCTACCTCTGATTTCTGAGTTTGCTTACAAAATATTCAAAGATCTCCCTTTCATTTGGTTTACCGTTTCTTAAAACTGACCGTCTGTTCTGTTCTGTTTCGTTTTACAGTCTCTCTTCTTGGTCACCATCTTCCCCCTTATTTGTTAAACATTTACTCAATCATGTTTTCTAGCTTAACTTTCCCTCCATAAATCTCTACCGTCTACCTAAGGGTCCCGTATCTATTGCTGCACACAAATGAACTTGCACTTAGTGAGGGAAAGGATTACAGCTGTAAAGACTGCAAGTTTCTAAAACTTCGCCACATCTTTTGTGTGTTGTCATCACAGATAATGGTTGGATTTGAGTTCATGAACTATGGGAAGACTGTTAGTTGTAGACCAGTTCCAGACGGCAGCTGTTTATAGAGATAGATCCTCAAGGGAGATCGGGAGGGGTGCTGGCTCTCAAAGAACCTACTAGGAGCAGAGGCTTGGGTCCTGCAGCAAAGAATCCCCAAGCAAGATAATGAATGGCCGGAACAGCCATACAGCAACTGTGACGGGGTGACTAGTGGGTCCGGCTCCTCCGTTGCGCTGTTTAATCTTCATAACACCCGGATGAGACAGCTCCCTTGTAGACGAGGAAATGGAGGCTCCCATGGTTTGCTTGACTTCACACAGTTATGAAGCAGAAGACCAGGGTGCAAAACCACAGAAGCCTGTTCCCAACAGCTGCAGGCCTTCACGGCAGCACACGGGGCCAGGTGACTGAGAAGACCCCAGCTTCCCCACTCTTTGGGGGTGTGCTTCTTCCTCCCTTCTTGGAACAAGAGATGAGAGACCCGTAAAGACCCACAGATGCTGTCCTGAGGGGAGGGGCGGTCTACCTCCCTTCAGGCAAATACTTATAAATGGAGCTAACTCCTTTCCAACTCTTCTAATGTAAATGGCGTTGGGGCTTCATTTCTGCTGGCGGTTAGTTTGTCTTTGCACTTAGTAAAATGCAGAGATTAGTTACGATAGGGAAATGCAATAGTCCACCCTTACCTTTGTGCCCCTAACCTAGGTTGGGTGCTTCAAATTCCTTATTTAAAATTTCCCAGAATCTAGTAAGGTAATAGCTATCTACTCCATTTCACAGATGCGGAAGCCAGGGCTCAGAGAAGTTAATCATCTTGTCAACGTCCCATAACCGGTAAGTGGAATCATCAAGGCTCGCGCCGAAGCTGTCTAGCTGGAAACTTACTTTCAGGTCTCTGGAAGGGCATCTAAAGACTGGTAACGCGGGCTGGGGAGAGACTGAAGAGGAGCCATCTTGTCATCCACAGCTCGACTGGACCAGCCTCGGCTCCTTAAACTCTTCTGTTATGATAAATGCTCGAGGGTATCACAGCAGTAGTGAGCACAGCTTTAAACTGTCCTTATGGAACAGGGGTTGTGCGATATACTCGACAGGCACTCATCTGAGTTTATTAACTAAGGATTTAGAAATCTCTCAAGAGTTGTTTTCATCCATTGTTATAAGGCAAAACATTATATAATGTTCCACTGATAAATTTATACACCAAGTGAAGTGCTTTACACACTTAACTTTAGTGCATCTTCACAAGGGCTCTATGTTGTGGCTAGTTGTCCTTATGCTACAGGTGTGAAAATGAGAGACCAAAGAAGTTTATTAAGCCTTCTAAGTTTGCACAGCAAATTCTAGTGGAGCCAGAATGAGAGGCAAGCGTGTTTGCCTCCAATCCTGTGCCCCTATCACACTGCAGTTCCACTGGGAAGAGCCCTTCCCATAGATCTCTTCATATTTAAGGAAAAAAATACATGCTTCCTGGCTTATGCTGTCTTTCTTTTCCTGGGTTTTTTTCTTTTTCAGAAACCCATTTGCCTCTGCTCCTCAGGGCTGCCTCCTTCTGACTTGTGACTCAAGCTTTTCAGCCCATTGGCCCTTCAAACCCCTCATGAGGGAATCTGGGGTGGGGAAAGCTCTAGGTACCGTTATAATGTGTATTTTTTCCCCTTCCTATTTTGCTTTTATTTTTAACTGCACACTCCTTTCTGACAGGAACTCTGTTTGTCCTGACTTGAGTCTGGTGTTGTGAGTCATTGGGGAGATATAACATGCTGATTGCTGAACCAGGTTATTATTTTTCCTTTTTCTATGACTCACTCTCTTCAAAAATCTCTAATTTATGATAGAAGTCAGTAAGATGTAAGCACAGAAAGTGTTTCTAATGGGCTGTCTCCTTATGTTTGATTCCACTTGGTCTAGTTTAACTCTTGGGTACGTGATGTAAACCAGCAGCGTGCCTTCGGAGCCAGAGCCAGCGGTCTGTAACCACGCCTGCACCAGGCGAGGCAGGGCGACTTCTGAGCAGCAGCAGAGCCAGGTTCATAGGACAAGCTCAGCCCAGGGCCTCAGTTGGAGGAAGAGAGAGGCTCTGATGAGATATTAGTAATGCTGCCTATGTACATGCCTAAAAAGGGCAGAGCCATGAAACTTTTTTGATGTACAGTATTTCTAATGAAAGAAACTTGTAGGTTATCATCCTTTTAAAGTGTCAGTAAAAAATGAAGGAAACATGCATAATATGGGTATGGTTCAAAGGACCACAAGTGTAAATGAAGAAAATGTACTCAGGTGTGGAAAGAGATGGTACTTTTTATCTGATCAACTTAATCATGTGGCCAGAGTATAACATTAGTCCAGGACAGGGTTTTTGAAGGTCTGATCTAATGCAACAGGCACCCTGCACGGCCCCTTGGCCAGATGCAGCCCCTGTGCAAGAGTCCCAGTGATGGGCACACAGCCGTCTGAAGTCACGGCCTAATGGCTGAACACTTACTCTGTGACTAGATCTCTCCCAGGCACCAGAGATACAAATGTGACACCCACGCCTCTCAGTCGCCTTGGTCTTAGGGGAACCAACTCCTTCGTCAGCGCCCCCCCGCGGGTTCCCTGGCTCCCCAGCACTGCTCTGAGCCTCCTTCTTTAGCCTTCACAGGAGCCAGAGCCTGTGACTGAGTTGCATCTCAGCTGCTGCAGACTCGGCCTCTGTCTGGAGTTGCTCATTTGTGTCAGCCTCCATCAGGCAACAGGCCTTGTCAGTGCCACCATGTGGTGGTTTCCCAGAAGCCCCAGGACCAGCATTCCTTGCAGAGCTGCCACAGTGCAGAAGCTAGGTAGCCTGTATCCCTCTCCCCTCCTGCTGGGGACTGGACTGGGTCACCCCCAACTCCATATATTGAAGCCCCAACCCCTAATGTGCCTTTGTATTTGGAGGTAGGGTCTTTAAGGAAGCAATTAAAGTTAAATGAAGTCATAAGGATGGGTTCATCCACTAGGACTGGTGTACTTGCAAGAAGAGGAAGCGACACCAGAAAGAGCGTGAACAGTGAGGACAGGCCCTGTGAGCTGGGCCTTGAAGGGTGGGTAGGAGTTTACGGATGGACCAGGCAAGCAAAATGCCCCAGTAAGAGGAGCAGAGTGTGAGGCACGGGGAGATGTGGGAAAGCGAGGCACATTTGAGGAGGGGCAGGTGGGCCTGTGTGGCTGAGCCCGTGGACGTAGGTCACGAGACAGAAGCGTTGTGGCTGTGGTGGTGCCACACAGGCTGTGGTGGCTGCAGATTTCCTGGCACAACTAGCAGACTGCCCTCCAGGTGGGTGAGGGGCAGCCCCCGGGCTCCTGAGCCCACCTTTTTCTCAGGAAATCTTTCACCCTTAACAAATGCATGGGGGGATGTTTCTAACCAGCTACGCACCTGGTGGGGGGGAAAGATTCTGGGTAATGATGATCCTTCCTGCCCCTCTCCTAATTTTGGTGAAATGGTACCCAAAATAAAGAAATTAAACATTGCCTGTCACTGGCAGGTTCCCACTGACATTCTCACCACCTCATCAGGCGCCATGAGGAGAGGAAGGCTGCTTTTTCAGATGCCTCATCCGGGGAATAACAGAACACGGATTTAGTCTCAGATCAGTATGATGCCAAAGCAGCTCGCCTCAAACACAGGCCCTCCCTCAGATGTTCGATTTTTACAGACAAAAGCGATTCACTATATTGTGATAACTTATTTTTCTGACCTTAAGAAAATGTCCAACAGTTGCCTACATTACCCTTGACAAAGCAGTTCACTCTGTAATTGTTGACCTTTGTCCTCCCTGAGGGAGCTACGTGAATCACCTTATGGGGGATGATGTGTGTGCACACTTCAAAAAACAATATATGTGAGGTGCTAGGGCCAATACCTTATACAGTTGTTGCCAGTAAATGTTGGCTATTGTTAATGTAAATAAATAACAATATTTTCCTGATTAGTGTATAGCTTTTCTAGATATAGACATATATGACTTTAAAACAAAGTAAAGCTCATGAATGCTCTGCTTTAATTTCTTCATTGCTTCATTCAGCCACTATTTCCTTAGCATCAATATCCTGCAGGTTTTTTAGATCAGAATTTGCATCTTTAAGGAAAGAATTTACTTCTTTGACCTCCAAAAGGAGCTGTGAACCGGTTAGCCTTTGTCAGCGAAGTACCGGCAAACAGTATAATCTTTGATAACTTAATCATAGGATGATGACTTTGTAATTTTTTCATTAAGAAGAAGAGGATAATTCAGTCTTTCCTGTCACGTCATTGGTTGATTTCTTTTAGTTATTAATAGTTCAGAGAACTTTCAGCATCACAACTCCTTATGGTAATACCATGGAAATGTTTGCTAGTGTTGCCAAATTTGAAAATATCACCAACATATTTATTTAAAACCTCTGAATTTGCAGGCCATTTTGAGGTTTCTTGTGCAGTACTCATTCCTAAAACCTCTGACTAGACAACATTCATTAACCAACTTGCCACTATTTCTTCAATGAAACGGTGTATTCTGAGTTTGTTATTTTTGTTGATGTCAGTGTTTTCAGTCAAATTAGCAAGAATTTAAAGTTATTTTGATGTTTATTTTATCTGATTTCCTTATAAAAGAAACAAAATGTGGGAAGTTTCAAGTGTATATATTACATTACCTAGGATATTCTTGGAGGCATAGAACTTCTGTTTCAAATTATCTGCTTATAATTTTACATGTTTAACGAGTAGGAGGATTTCCCACAGCTCAGCTTCCGGGTCTGTACGTTCTCAGACCTGTGTCTCCCTTACTCCCTGAGCGCTCCCTCAGCTCTCGGCTAAGTGTAGCTTGTGAACCAATCTCTGGCCCTGCACCTCTGTGTCGTGACACTGGGTGAGCTGAAACCGTGGGTGGTAGGAATATTTCTAGAATCTGCGCCTACACCAGAGTGGTTAGCAATAGCTCAATTGTTCTGGAATTGACTGTGAGACGTATAAATTCCTTTCAATAAACCCAAACTAACCCCAACTCAAGTTCTCTCCAGTTAGATCCTCAAAATGTCCTCAGCCACTGCAACACCACCCAACACAGGGAAAGTGTAACAGAGAAGAGGGAATGGAAAGAGACAGAAGTCTTCATTGATAGCGATTACAATATCTTATTTTTCAAGTTTTATAAAACCATCTGAATATCTAAACACACCGCCAGGGCCTGTCTGAGGGCCTTGTGGGGGCCTGTGCACATGAGAGCTCTGAGCTTATTTCACTAAATTCACACAAAACATACCCCAGGCTCCAAGTTTGGAGCCTTTGCAGAAAGACTAGTTTACTTCACCCTGAAAAGCATTGAATGGGGTCACAAGATCACATGCTAAGCCCCAGACCATGACCAGGGACCTAGACCCTTTCGTGAAAATGGGCAAATCTCTTGTGACCATGAAGCTTGCCAGGGCCCAGACATAGAAGTCATCCCTGTTTCCATGTACTTTCTGGCACCCAAACTGTCAACTTATAGCTGTAGTTATTTGTATGGTTCTGGGTCAAGAATAATAACTTCATACATACATCAGCCAGTCTGTCCTCAGTTAAGGTTCCTCAATATTGTGATCTTTTCTTTTTATTAAGGTATTATTGATACACACTCTTATGAAGGTTTCACATGAAAAACATTGTGGTTACTACATTCACCCATATTATGAAGTCTCCCCATACCCCATTACAGTCACTGTCCAGTGTGTAGTAAGAGTCACAGAGTCACTACTTGTCTTTTCTGTGCTACACTGTCTTCCCTGTGACCCCCCCACACACACACCCTCCACCACTTTTTCCCTTTGGTAACTGCTAGTCTCTT